CAGGGACGTTAGAAGGAACTTTTTCAGTGTCAGAGTAGTTAACGGATGGAATGCATTAGGCAGTGATGTGGTGGAGGCTGACTCTATACACAGTTTCAAATGTAGATATGATAGAACCCAGTAGGCTCAGGAATCTGTACACCTGTTGATTGACAGTTGAGAGGCGGGACCAAAGAGCCAGAGCTCAACCCCCGCAAGCACAATTAGGTGAGTACACACACGCACACACACACACACACACACACACATATATATATATATATATATATATATATATATATATATATATATATATATATATATATATATATAAGTTTGAATGGTTCCTAAACATATATGCAACTGAAAACTCCACACCCCAGAAGTGACTCGAACCGAACAGCCAGGAGCACATTGCAACTGGTGTACACGGTGCCTTAAACCACTGGACCATCAGTGACCGTACAAAAGGGGTGTGGGGGAGCGCCCCAACCCGCTCCCCACACCCCCTCCAGGTGACCACAAGCTGAGGTGAAGCCCTTATAGTTAAGTGTCTCCTCTTAACGATCTTTTCTCACCTGCGTCACCCTCACCCGCGTCACCCTCACCCGCGTCACCCTCACCTGCGTCACCCTCACCCGCGTCACCCTCACCTGCGTCACCCTCACCTGCGTCACCCTCACCTGCGTCACCTTCACCTGCGTCACCTGCTCCTGGCCACCTGAGACAATCAACAAATGGAAGGCGTGAAGCAGCAGCTTGAAGAATATTTACCTGTCCTGAGCACCTGAGCACCTGAGCACCGCCCTCCCGCTCCACTTTATGTAATTAAGAAACTTAATGCCCTTAACCAAATTACTTTTGGAGCTCTCCCTGTGCTTGTAGGACAGGCCTCCCTCATTCTTGTGTCCTCATTGGCTGTTTCCTCCGTGCTAACGACCGCTGAGGCAAGGGGGGAGCAGGAGGGGCAGGAGGAGGTGCAGGAGGGGCAGGAGGAGGTGCAGGAGGCTCATATTGGCGTTTTAAGGTGTCCAGTGGCTCTTATTGGCCTCTTGAGGTGTCCAGTGGCTCTTATTGGCCTCTTGAGGTGTCCAGTGGCTCTTATTGGCCTCTTGAGGTGTCCAGTGGCTCTTATTGGCCTCTTGAGGTGTCCAGTGGCTCTTATTGGCCTCTTGAGGTGTCCAGTGGATCTTATTGGCCTCTGAGGTGTCCAGTGGCTCTTATTGGCCTCTTGAGGTGTCCAGTGGCTCTTATTGGCCTCTTGAGGTGTCCAGTGGCTCTTATTGGCCTCTTGAGGTGTCCAGTGGCTCTTATTGGCCTCTTGAGGTGGTCCAGTGGCTCTTATTGGCCTCTTGAGGTGTCCAGTGGCTCTATTGGCCTCTTGAGGTGTCCAGTGGCTCTTATTGGCCTCTTGAGGTGTCCAGTGGCTCTTATTGGCCTCTTGAGGTGTCCAGTGGCTCTTATTAGTCTCTTGAGGTGTCCAGTGGCTCTTATTAGCCTCTTGAGGTGTCCAGTGGCTCTTATTGGACTCTTGAGGTGTCCAGTGGCTCTTATTGGACTCTTGAGGTGTCCAGTGGCTCTTATTGGACTCTTGAGGTGTCCAGTGGCTCTTATTGGACTCTTGAGGTGTCCAGTGGCTCTTATTGGACTCTTGAGGTGTCCAGTGGCTCTTATTGGACTCTTGAGGTGTCCAGATCTAAGATAAATGTGGTTGACAATCAGCCGACACTTATATGACAAGGTGCTGACATTACGCTGACAGGGCTGATTTTAAACTAACATGAAGCTGACAGAAGGGCTTAAATCAAGTTGACAGTCCCCTATCATGTTGATAGGGGACTGACATCAAGAGGAGAGGGAGCTGACAGGCGGCTGACACAGACCAGAGAGGGAGCTGACAGGCGGCTGACACAGACCAGAGAGGGAGCTGACAGACGACTGACACAGACCAGAGAGGGAGCTGACAGGCGGCTGACACAGACCAGAGAGGGAGCTGACAGGCGGCTGACACAGACCAGAGAGGGAGCTGACAGGTGGCTGACACAGACCAGAGAGGGAGCTGACAGGCGACTGACACAGACCAGAGAGGGAGCTGACAGGCGGCTGACACAGACCAGAGAGGGAGCTGACAGACGACTGACACAGACCAGAGAGGGAGCTGACAGGCGGCTGACACAGACCAGAAAGGGAGCTGACAGGCGGCTGACACAGACCAGAGAGGGAGCTGACAGACGACTGACACAGACCAGAGAGGGAGCTGACAGGCGGCTGACACAGACCAGAGAGGGAGCTGACAGACGACTGACACAGACCAGAGAGGGAGCTGACAGGTGGCTGACACAGACCAGAGAGGGAGCTGACAGGCGACTGACACAGACGAGAGAGGGAGCTGACAGGTGGCTGACACAGACCAGAGAGGGACCTGACAGGCGACTGACACAGACCAGAGAGGGAGCTGACAGGCGACTGACACAGACCAGAGAGGGAGCTGACAGACGGCTGACACAGACCAGAGAGGGAGCTGACAGGCGGCTGACACAGACCAGAGAGGGAGCTGACAGGCGGCTGACACAGACCAGAGAGGGAGCTGACAGACGACTGACACAGACCAGAGAGGGAGCTGACAGACGACTGACACAGACCAGAGAGGGAGCTGACAGACGGCTGACAAGAACCACCACCATAACCCCCGTGTCTCAC